ATTAAATAGATAGCCGTTTCGAGAGCTTCCGTCTATAATAACTTAGGGAGCTTTACATCGAAAAGTATAGCTCTAGCCCTTTCGTAAACTAGGCGATTACCTCGTTCGCTACCTCCATCTTGCTATAGCGAGTTAGCTGGCGTTAGTTCCTATTATATGCTATAGTAAGAATATAGCTTTTATACGTTTTCCGTGAGGAATTCTCGGTCTAATCGTACGAATGCGGGTACGTTAAATCCTTAGTTCTTAATATACTAAAGCTATTGTGTAAAGTAAGGTACTGCTTCGGCTCGATTTCGAAGGAAATAGATCTAATAGTATCTAGTTATATCGTCCGTAATTATTATAAAATATCGAATGCTTTTAGCACTAGGTAGTGCCTAATCGTCGTCGTATCTAAGTGTCGTACCTCTACCTACGATATCGATGTATATGCGGGTAAGGAACTTCGTGGCCCGGTATGCGGCGTTCTTATTAATCTCCTATATCTATTTCGCCTCTCGGTAAATGTTGTAGAAGGGGAGAGTCTTTGTGCCTTTAATTTTAACCTAGGAGGTCTTTACTAACCTAAGGATATTATGCTAATTTAGATGATATAGGCGTTGGTACTATTGAGTTATAGTAAGGGTAGTAGGGTTAGGTTTTAGACCTTTAGTATTAGATTCGTTAGGAGCCTTAGTATTAGATTTGTTGACCTCGCTGAGCTTCGTAGCCTTTGTAATGATAGGTTGTGTAGCTCCCGTACTTAGTCCTGTAATCGAGTACGTCTGATTATTATGCGGTAAAGCTTTAAATCTGATCCTGTCTAGTAAGATTAAACTAAAATAAAGCGGTGTTGTATTAGATAGAGAGATCTGAAATCCCTAACGATCTAGCTAACGAAAAGATAGTAAGTCGGTAGTGATTATAGGTACGTATCAGATATTAGGAATAGAGAGTACGGTATCCTCGAAAGCGACCTTGACTGTGTCTTATCCTATTACGGTGTGTATACGACCGCTTGCGTCCTCGAATTGACTGGTTGACTTTAGACTATAATAGTCTGTGTCGGTAAATAGATTTTTCCTAGAAGTTATATACTATGAAGCTGCTGTATCAAGACGCTAATTAGGTTATCGATGAAGTTAGCGTATAGCGCTAGCTTAAGAGTTTCGTACGATAAGCTTTTTACCGGTGCTTTCTTCTATCTAGCTTGCCTTAGCCGTATTAAGACGCCGGCGAAGATAGTAGCCTTCTGGTGCTTTCTCCGGGTGCAGCTTCTAGCATCTATCTCTGTCGTGATTTGGTTTCTTGCAGTACGAGCAAAATTTCTTGTCGAGTGTTTTTGTCGGTAGTGTCTTAGACTCTCTACCGTCGTCTTTCTTCCCGTTGTTAACCTTCTTTTGATTGGTTCGGTATCTGTTTTCGAGCTTGAATTCTTATGGTTTCTGCTACTCGTACGAGGAGGGCTTTTTCGTCTGTGGTGCTCTCATGATTAATTGATTAAGGAACATTTTGACGTCTATTTTTTGAATTAGTCTACGACCGCAAGCGAAGAGTTCGTCTAGCTTTATCCGTACGAACTGCTGTTGCTATTGGCTAAGGAGGCAAAATAGATAGTTATGGTAAAAGTCTTCGAATATCCTATCTATCTTCCTTAATTGTGAGGTAATACGCTGAAAATCGAGTAATATGCTTATATAGTCCCCCTACGGGTTTAGGTCTAGGAGAGCCTTAACTGTTATAAGACGCTCCTTAGCGGAAGAAATACCGTAGACTGTGTTGATTCGCGACTAGAGTTCCGCAGCGTTCGTAAGGTCGATCTAATTAATAGTCGATTTAACTTATAGGCTTATCGATTATAAAAGCCTAGTATAAAGGACTTCGTTCTGCTTAGTCCACCGAGTAGTCTTAATCGCGTCTTTAGTAGGTGGTGATATCTAGTGTTCTTTAAGGATATATACAGCCTCAATTATATAGGCGTCCGATAGCATCGATTCTCGCCATTTCATATAGTTCTCGCGTCTAAGTAACTGAATAGGCTTAATCGATAGTCGGTCCTTTACGAGCTTGCGAATACGCTCTTGCTCCTTTCCGATACCATCTATACCCAGAGTCGTTCCTCTACCGATAGTAGGCGGCATTTATAGCGCGGTAGCCTGCAGTTATACTTGTAAAGCCTGAATTTGGGTCTGTAGGAGTTGAATTTACGCAGCCATTAAGTTTCCTTGCTAGTTATTCTCATCGACTGAGTCGTCAGACATTAGTGTCAATATCGATTAATCAGCGGTTCGTCCGCGTCTTAGTGCCATATCGACTATATATCGGTAGGCGATTGTTTTGTTTTGGTCTGTTAACCCCCCTCCTGAATAGGTCCTTGGGGCTCTGAGGACGTTGATCCGCCCAGAAACAACAGTGATTTTAGTAGATTTAGCAAGTAGCACATAGTCTGCTATCGTGTATCTTATATGAACGATTGCAGAGTACCAAAAGCGGGCATCATAACCTGTCAGCAGGCATAAGTCTGTGTATGCGTGGGTGCGGGTGCGGCCCACGACTAATCTACTACTATGCTGACTAAGCACGGTCGACCCAGGGCACATGACCCAGTATGGACTAGTGCTCCAACATCAAACCCTAGTCACATAATACTATAAATAAACGGGTTTTGTACCTACCCGTAATAATACTAGTCCCTTTTTATAGATTGTAAGACAGATACAAGAGCCTATAATTAGAACCCTAGAACTCCTAGAAGATTCTACGCAAACGCAACAAACAGGGCAAACAAAGCAACATCTGAACTAGCGAGGTGTCAACCTTCTCCCTTCTGCACCTCGCAGTTGCTTTACTGCAGCGCTTAGTGCTTCCTAGGGTTCCATCTAGGGTCAAGGTAATAGGCAAGTCTTAACAGTAAAGTTCTGTTTCAGGATCTCTACTATTGCTTATCATTATGCTGCGGGTTCAAATCTTATTAGATACTAGGGATTACTGGCTAACGCCTAACAGCACTGCGTAGGTCACCTATATTGGAAGATATTCACGATAACCAATGGTTTTTTTGACGATGCCTACTAAGCCCAGATAGTCGACCCCTAGGACAGAAATTCGGATTACGCCCCCACACCTAGTAACTTCGGTCGTACGCCTACTACCTTGTACTCTTCTAGCCCTGCCCCGGATTATACTACGGACTAGCTATAGTCCGATTCTCTTGACTTTCTCCTATTAGTTAAATAGGAAGAAGGTAGCGAATATAACGAGCTACTGCCGAGATATGTCTGCTATATAATTGTATAGAAGCCTATACTTAACCGTAAAACGGTAGGTAAAGTGACCGAGGAAGACTTGGTTATAGCTCCTAGTGATTACTAGGTAGAGAATTTGTAAGTAGATGTTGAAAATATACTGCAAACGAAAAAGAAGCGTTAATAGCGACTTAGATCTGAAGGTACGGCCGTTACGGTTAAAGTGAACGAACGGTCTTAAGTAAATCTAGAAAAATTCTATAATTCTACTAATATTAACTAGACCCTAGTAGAGAAGTAACTACGTAAATAGAGCAATCTGCTTCGTATAGGCAAGAAGCTTACGGTCGAGATTGCCTTTACTTATAGGGAGGATAATAATAGTCATTCTATGCCTCTACTAAGAAACTTCGGAAAGAGGGGACGTATATCTATAACTAGCAGAATATTAGCTAAACGTAAGGTATATATTCTAGCGGAGGAAGAGGTTACTAGATAACCGTCGACTTGGCAACGTATATATAAGCTAATATGATATTATATCCGCTTATGTCCGCACAAGTCTGACTGGTATTGGGAGGACCCGAAGGACAAAACATATTACAAACTCAGGACCCTATATCTAGAACGACTTATCGACTGTATCGATGAGGGTAGCATCCTAGACGGTTATAATAACGTTCCTAATAATATCCGTCTAGACCTAACCCTAGAAAGCTAGGCAAGAAGAAAGTCAAAAAAAGTCGATGTGCCAATAACTAGACCACTATATCCTCCAATTATTATCAACGTTTTACCGGGATAAAATAGCAGCGCTTCCTCGGTCACTTCGTCCCTACCTAGGCCTTTAGCTAACGAGCCTCTTATAATTACCGGGCCTCGTGAATCGGCTATAAGAGAATACTATAAATAGCTAGAATTACACGCTACCGAAGAATCTTACAAAGCTGATTTCCGTAAAATCTGCCAAATAACTTTAGAGAATCGCCTAGATCTTGAACTAGTCCTCGAGGATCCAGACCCTAGCTTCTTCGTTCAGCGAGGGATTCGAATTAGGATTGTTCGTCGCTTCCTACGTAATATAAACGAATAGGCTACTGCGATGAAACAAAACGTACTTCTTGACCTGACCGCCGAATAAACTCTCAACGGTGCCGAATAGACTTAAGAGCTATTTTCTTTACAGTACTCTAGGTATGGCTAGCTCCACAGAGGGCTCGTAGGCGTTATCATATTTCTGTGGATTGAGGCATAATACACATAGCTTTTGTACGTGTTAGTTACAGCTTAGTTTTAGATTATTGGCTTGTTAGACTATTGGGTTCAGTACACACACATACACACAATTCATTAACGCCCGGCGGCTAAGCCGAAAGGGCAACTAAAACTGATCTATTAATATAAGTCCTAATATATATATGCCGTATCTCCTTCAAGCCTATATATGGATACTTTTAGTATATGTCCTCTTAGCTATTAATATTATAGGGATCCTTGTGGGTTAGTAATTTTGTTAGTAGACTAGCTTGAAGGCGCTTCTTCAAGTGTTCAACATCCTATCTTCGGCAGTTGAAGTGCGTCTACTATCTTTAGTACAAGGTGGTAGGTGTAGGTTGGTGAGGGGGAGGGTGTTATTGTATTGGTCGACGTGGTTAGGCGGCGTCGAGTCGGCCCGTAGCGATTGCGAACCGTATTGAGGCTCGTACGGCTTCTAAGTTCGGCGTCTAATTCCGGTTATCTAAAGGCGATTTTCCGCCTAGGAAAAAGGATATGTTACCTCGGTGAGTATGGGTATATTGTAGTATTTCCGTCCGGTGTGCGGTCTACTTCTGATATCGAAAGAGGAAGTGTTCTACGGTCTCTCTTGTTTATCTATATGTATACTGACCCGTCTCTATAACGTTGATCTGATAGAGATAGCTATTAAGTCTAGCTATGCTAGTCCGGAGTTGGGCTAGTACGCTCGCTTCTAGACCTCGGCAAGGACCGCCTAGGACCGGACCGGGACCGGGACCGGACCGCACTATATAGGGCTCGGTCCTTACTTTTAGGACCGCTAGGCGGTCCTGACTTTTTTAGGACCGTATCACTACGGTCCCGGTCCCCCGTACGGTCCTGTAAACAAGATAAATATAGGAAACCCCGTAATATATATATTTTATATAGAATTAGTTAGTATTTTTTAGTATTCTATTTTTATTCTTTATTTATATAGGCTAATTTTAGCTTAAAGAGGATTTCTGTAGAAAAAACTAATAATAATGATTTCGGCCGAAAAAACCTAATTCTTTATCTCTACTAATTATATATAAAATCTATATTATATCTTAATCTCTTTAGGATACGCCCTAATAAACGCCTCTAGATATTAAAATTAGGTAAAGGGATCTTATTATCTTCTAGCTTAGTAAGCTAACTATTAATAGCCCTTCTCTTCCCTAGTACTCGTTAACTAGGCTACTAAATAGATACTTCTATAGAAGTATCTATTATCCTATCTTCCTTATTATCGTTAATAGGATTAAACTCTTTATTATCTTACTTAGTATTATCTTACTCTTTTTTTATATACTTCTCTTAAGTAGAGAGAAACTTATCTATTAGTATAAGCTACTCCGACTATATATTAAATCTTATTATATATATAAATATTATTAGATCCTAAATAGTCTATAATTTTAATAAGCTACGGCGATAGTAGTATATATTACTAGTAGAGTTAAAGAGCCTCTCTACCCCGGAGCTACTAGCTAGAGTTATAAGGATATCTCGAGTAAGGCTTACTAGGATAGGATACTCTACCTTATAGGCCTTCTAGAAGACTAGGGGTATTAATTAAATAGTACCTAGAGAGATATAATATTAATAAAAGCTAAGATATATTAGTATAAAAGAGTATTATTAGACTTATTACTTCTAAGATATCTTATAACTTTATCTAGAGTAGTTAGTGTTAACTAGAGAGAGATAGTAGATCTTAGAAGTATATTAATATTAGAGATATTATTACTTAGTAACTAGGTAGTTAATATTAATTATACCTCTATATAGTACTATTAGTAAGGCTCGATATAAGTCTTAAAAGACTCTTAATATTACGGTACCTAGTATTTCTCCTATTCTAATATTCTAAAGAACTTAAGCTTATTTCGTAGGCCTAAGATAGTCCTAATTATATAGAGATTATTTAGATTATTATTAGTCTAGCTATAATACTCCGTAAGCTTTTTACGTCTATACTCTAGTGCTAGTTTTATTACCTTTTTTTACCTAACTCTCTTTCGTACTAGCTACGCCTTTATTTTATTAATATAGGTAAATAAGGTATTATAGATCCTAAATATATTATAGATAGTTATATTAGTTATCGCTGATAGAGATAAAGTAAACTTAAAGAAAGGATAGATAATTAATAGTAGATAGTTAACCTATCGCTATTTATCCTTATCTAGCTTTATATTAGTTAGATTAAACTAATTATAAAATCTATTAAATATAGTCTATAGCTAACGTATATACTAAAATATTAGAAAGGTAGAATTCTAGCGTATTTAGATATCTTATATTAGTATAAGCTTTAGTTCTTTAGTCTAAAGTATACTAAAGCTCTTATAGTACTAGGGGCTTTTATTAATATAGATAGTAATCTTTTAAACCTAGAGGATATTATATAGTTAGTATTAAATAGAGAAATAATAGTAGAAAGGAGGTATAGTATACTTTATTTAGGGTCTATATAATCTTCCGATTTTTTTACTAGGCGCTATCTCCCCGATCGGCCTATTCTATCTCTTCCCTATTATTTCGTAGGTTCGTATCTATCTAGCTAAGAAGCTCTTTAAGACTAAGTTATATAATATATATAATATATAGTATATAAATAATTAGTATATAACTAGGAAGCTTAAGAGACGAAATAGCCTCTTTAAGAGTAATTAGTAATATATTATTATTCGATATATTATTAGTTATAACTATAAGTATATAATTAGTAATTTAATACTTCTTAAGTAGCCTAAGTAGAATACTATTTAGATAGACGCCTATATAAGAGCTATAGAGAGGTTTAAAGCTAAGTAGAATCTTATAATAGTTCTACTTAAGATTAATAAAGTAGCTAGTAACTACTATAAACGTTTAGCGAAAAAGAGAGGTCTAGTAATCTAACGTAATAGAAAGCTTAGTACCCTCTAGGAGTATTTAAAGTAGAGACTCCTAACGTTCTATAACTATCTTCTAAAGATACTAATAGATAGTCCTAGTACTTAGTATTTTAGAGATAGATAGGGTAGAAGAAGCTATCTCGATAAAGGCATAAAATTTAGGGTACTTAATAAGCTAAAATAGTAGGTATATAGTAATAATAAAGGTAGTTAACCTATCTATCTAAGTATTTATTAAGAAGTCTTTTTTACTAGATAGGTAATTTACCTAGAGATAATTATATAAGTTAGTATAAATTAGCCTTATAGATAGTATTTATACCCTATTTAAGATTATCTTTCTAATATCTTATATCTTACCCCTTCCCTTTTAATAGATAGTAGCTTATAAATAATACCTATTTATAGTTAATATTCCTCGGTACCGGTTAGTAGGATAAGTAAGGATATAATTATACTATTTATATATTATCTTAGGAGACCTATTAGAGATAGTAGTAACCTAGTAAAAGTATTCCTAAATATTTACCTAGTATTTATCCTTAAAGATATTTCGTTCTATTCGGCTTCTATAGTTAGTCCTTCGCTACTAATCGATAAAATCTTCGTTAACTATCTCTATCTAAAGAAGAAACTACTTCTTTTCGTATAGATTAATAGGCTTAAGGATCTCTAGAATTAGGATAGGTATCGCTAGTTATATAAAGATTAAGCTAGGAGTTAAAGTTAGTATTTCGTCTTCGTCTAGGTTAAATAGTCTATTAGATATAAAGAAAGAGAGTATATCTATAGGGTTATCCTTAAAGACTAATAAAAGATAGTTATTAGAGAACTAGGATACCTAGCTCTATAATATATTAATAAGTAATATATAAGAGAAAGTAAGAAATAAGGCTAAGGGGTAATAGGAAAAATATATAATTATCTTTTTATTAAGGTAAATAAATAATTAGGGAGATTACTATAAAGGAAAAGTAATTAATAGATAATTTAAGATAGAACTAGCTAGATTCTAGATAGTAATTAGCTAATAAGACCTACTCTACTATAGTCCTTACAGTCTAAGACCGTAAGGACCGCTAAGGGACCGCTAAAAGATCTCTAGGATCGCTAAAAGACCGCTAAAGAACCGTAAAGACCGCTAAGGGACCGCTAAAAGACCTTAAAGACCGCTAAAAGACCCTAAAGACCGCTTAAAGAGCGCTACCTTAAGGATAGCGGATTATATATAGATTTCTAATAGCTATAATAGCTATTAGAGATCTAGGCTAAGGATATTAATAATATCTTAGTAGATAGCCTATATTTCTAATAGCCGTTAAGTATTTTATAACTAGGGAAATTAATAGTATCTAGGTAATAGATAGTATTAAATTCTAATAGCTATCGAAATTTCCGACGGCTATCAGAAATTAATACTAAGGATATTAGCTAGCTAATATATATTTCTAACTATAAAACTAATAAAACTACTACCCCCCCCCTAACCTCTCTACTAGAGTAGTAAAATACTTAAATTTTAGTTAGTTCTTATACTTTAATAAATAAGATTCTAATATATAAGCTTATTTTACCTACTTTATCAATAATTAGGCCTAGTTTATTATAAATATTAGTGTATATACTAAAACAGTATTTAATAATAGTAATAAACGTAGCTGAATCATTAGTTTATGCGGCCGAAAATAGAAGGTCTTAGCAGAATTATGAATATACGGGGGGACCGTACGGGGGACCGCAAAGGACTATAGGGGACCGTAGTACGGTCCTAACTACTTCAAAAAAAGACTAAGGACCGGAGGTCCCGGTCCCGGTCCTAAGATTTGGGACCGGACCCGGTCTTTGCCGAGGTCTACTCGCTTCTTTCTACGATAATCGATTATATAGTTATTAAGTGTGTTTCCTAGAGAGTGCTGTATCTACTCGTTTCACGTGTCTGTCTACGTTCTCTAGTAAGGTATTGCTAGTAGCTGCTTAGGACCGAGCGATATTTAGCGTTGTCGACTTTATCCTGGGAACTGATTTTTATAGGGAAGTATCCTTTTAGGTTGCGGTTCTGGCTTGCTCTTTAGCTAGACCTAGTAGTTTATTGTCTTTACTGGTAGGGACCTAAAGGATATTAATATGGTTTCCGTTTCTCTGTAGTCTTCTTATTAATATATACGTTTGGTAGACGAACTCCTGGTCTGACTGTTATCGAGGGTTCTTTATCGTGAGAGCCGCTGTTTTGTTGCTTGTGAGTAGTATAATCCTGTAATCTTTTAGTCCTACTAGTATGTTTAATGTATATGCTATTACTACTAGCTCTGCGGAGAATGGATTCTGCTCTGATCTTGCGCCTAATGTTACGGAAAAGGTCTTTAGTTTTAGTTTTCGATACCGAGGTGGCTGCTTCTCGATCGCTACCCCGAATCCTACGAGCCCGTTTCGTGCCGAGCTACTGACTGCGACTTATATTGATCCGCCTAGTATAGTCTATGAGTCCGGCATTGCTTTAATATCGGTCTGTATGTATATCTCCTATAGTGCTAATGTAAACGGATTAATGGTTTCTAGTGTCTCTATCTTAATGCTTTTTAGTGCGTCCGCTATTTAGTATAGCGGCGAACGGTGATACCTCCTAAATTTCTTGATCCGAGCTATATTTCTGCGGAGAGGATTGGTTACTAGGAGAGAATAGAGGTCTATCTATATTTTTACGGCCTGTCTCTAAAAACGGTATTTGCGTAGTAGTAATATAAGCCTCTACCTCCGCTACGCTAGTCGTAACTGTAAGAAATATCCCTATAATTACTTACGCTCCTATCTTTTGGACTCGGTTAATCGGCCCGATTACCTTATCTTTATAAGCGTATATCTAGATACTTAAGGCGTAGTCTACTACCGGAGCTACCGTCGATGTAAATAGCTACTATATTATTATTAGGGATAAGCTGCGAAGTCGCCGAAGCTCTATCGCTACCTCTAGGCCTTTAGATACTGCCCTCGCGATATGTTCCTTATACTTAAGTCTCGCGTCTATAAGGACACCTAAAATCTTGATATAGTCTTTAGGCTTAACCGCTTGTCCCTTAATAGTGAAAGGCCCCTAGTCCGATTTGTAGGCCTTAGGAGCGAAGTGTATAATAGCTGTTTTGTCTGCCTTAAAAGTCGCTCCGCTCCTTTTCTCCTAGCCGAGTACTTTATTGATAATTGCTTTAATACCTTCCCGATTACTCTATATAGTTAGTCCGGTTACCTACGTAGTAAAATTATCTATAAACGCGATTACTCCTCCCTAGCTGTCGATCTGTCGTTATACGAGGTCTGCGTTAAAGAAGAGGAATAGGATCGGGGATAGCGGCGAGCCCTACGGCAGTCTAGCCTGTAGTAAGCTTTAGACCTTAGATAATTACCTATTAATTTGTATAGTCGCCGTTCGTTCCGAGTAGAACGCCTTAATCTACCGGAGTAGATCCTCCGGTATGCCTTACGCCTTTATCCTCTAAAGTAATCTTTCTTTATATACTCTATTATAGGCTCTTTTAATATCGAAGTTAATTAAGCTTAATACCCGTCGGCTACGCTACGCTGTATAGATTTACTCTTAAAGAAATATAAATACTTATTCCGCGGACCGCTGCTTTCGGGCTCCGAAGTAGCTAGTGGGGAGCAAACCGTAAGTCTCTACCGTATATAAGATCCTTTCTATAACTACTAATTCTAGTATCTTACCTAGTATCGCGAGGAGTGAAATTAGTCTCTATACTTTAGTAATAGTATAGTTCTCGTTATTCGGCTTTTTAAGCGGTATAATCTTTACATATCTCTACTACCTTAGTAACGTACCTCCTTCTAGCGAGGCTTAAAATAGATTAAGCACCCTATACTTAACTATAAGCTATATTATCTTCTAGACTATTACTAGTAGGCCGTCTTCGCTAGGCGCTTTCTAAGACTTCGCCGCTAATAATTACCACTCTACCTCCTCTATCATAATGGCTAGCATTTCTACCGGTACTCTTCCTAGTCTCATCCCTTCATCGTTAATAATATCCGGCAGAGACGGGAAGAATATAATTAGTAATTCCTCTACTTACTCCTTATAATCGGTAGTAGTCGTTCCGTCTCCTCTTAGGAGCTATAGGACCTTCCTAAACGCTACGTTATCTCCCGAGTTTAGGTATTTAGCGGCTTTCTATATATTATCGTTATCTATAAGGAATTTATTCTAGTGCTTTTTCCTTTATTACCAGATAGCATCGTAATATTACTTCGCCGTACCTTAGGCTATCTCTTCGAGATAGGGTACTTTTCGCCCCGCCCGGCGCTCCGAGCGGGCGTGATTTCTCTAGTATATATATATTTAACAGAGCTATATTAAGTTATCTATCTACTATCGCTTTACGTACGGTAACGGTTTAGCCTTCGGTATTAAGGTATACACCGCTTCCGAGACAGCGGATATAATTCGATCGGTTTTCTACTATACTATACCCTCCGACGGAGTAGCGAATAGGGTATTCGTAATCTAGGCATTAATCTCTTTCTATAGAGCGTTTTTCAGCAGGAGTTATTCCTAATACTTTAGGGGCGACTATAGGGCGTCAAATACAGTCTTAATAGTACAGTAATCCGAACGGTACTCCGTCCTATATATAGCACACTTAACTATAGAGTCTATTAGGTTTTCCGAGGCAAGGATAAGGTCGATAGTTAACTCGTAGTCGCTACGCTGTCCTCTGTTATACTATATCTTTATACCTCCGTTTAAGTAGACTACTAAGAGTAAATTTATTTATAAGGTCGATAATTAGATCCGCTTTACCTTATCTTCCTAAAGATACGTCGTCTCCTCCCTAGAGTTAATCATAACGGTTAAAATCTCCCACAATTATAATCTCTAACACCGTATCTATGTCTCGCTATACCTCTATAATTACTTTACGTAGGTAATCGTATATTTCGCGCAATACCGTAGCGTCTCCTCCCTCTACGTAGACTAATACTATAAAAATCTATCATCCGGGGTTCCGAATAACCGCTACCGTCAGATCCGGGGACTCGATCCGCACTTACTCCGCTTCAACCTCCTTATTAATCCAGAGCATACTTCGAATTACCTATCTATCTTCTCTTTAGGTAGAGGGAACCAGTTTCGTCTAATTATAATATCCTATCGGGGTTATCAAAAGCCGGCCTTAAATTCTCCTCGCTTAGGGTTCCTAAATCGCTAGTACCACTACCCCCTAGGTTTCTTCGTCGTTCATTAAGCTATCATATATTACTCCCTATTTCCTTACATTTAGTTAGACTATTCGGAGGGTTTTATTCATAACGTAATAGATAGAGCCTCCGGCAGTTTTTACTATACGATTTATATAGGCCTCCGCATAGAACGCACTTTAGAACCGTTTAGTCACAGTTACTATAGCGATAGCCCTCCATAGCGCATTTTACATATTTCTAGACGTTCTTATACTAGAACGCCTTATAGCAATCTCCTAGTAGTTATAGTATTACATCGGTCGTAGTCGATATTCGAAGGTACTAGTCACGCCAGAATCTCCCCCTACGTAAAAGAATCCGTCGGCTAGGAGCCTCCGTACGTCAGTACCTTTAGTAAGGTAACCAACCATTAACCTATAGGCCTTCGCACTCTCCTTTCTACTAAGCCATACGATCTTAGCCACGGTAGCTTCGTTCTCCTCGCGGAAGTCTGCCGCAGCTCCGGTCGGATCTCATCATTTTCATCCAGGACTGCGGTTTTATTAACGCTATCGACTTTAATCGGGTAAAGCTCGTCTCCCGCGCCGATCTTTACTTCCGCCACTTTCTTAACTAACTAGTGTTCGGCTTCATCGCGACACGCTATTCTGATCCGGTTCGTATTCTTCGGGTCTACGGTAACGGCGCAACAACGCTAGTACGTATAGTCTTCTAGCGTCCGGATCTCTATCTCGACCGTCGCCCGGATTAGGCCTACGGACATCCTCTCGTTTCTATTTTCTGCCATCCTTAAGGTATCTATTATACAATATAACATATCGGTAAAAGTAGTTAGTATTATATTCGACGTTAAAAAAGTCTATATATTACTCGGGTAACTAAGTAGGGGAGTACGGACAACATCTATATAGGACGGGGTACTTATAAGGGCGTAAGGGCTCATTTTATTACGCAGGGATTAAATCTCGCGGAGGATCTCGTCGTAGCCGTTCTAGAAACATAGTTCGGAGGGGGCTTACGGTGTCGGGAGTCTATTTATTAGGGTCTGTAGCTCTAGTCAAACTTCTGCAAGGGCGGCACTAAATTCTTCTTTAATTTTTTATAGTTCTCTCTTATATAGATTATCTCTTAGTCTAATCTCTTTCCTAAGTTTAACGAGCTCTCGTATAAGTTTAGAGGCATTCGGGTCCTCGCTCTCTGTCAAAGAGTCCGTCGTTACCGATTCACGCTAGGCGACTAGCTTACCTAGGTTCTTCCCCCGCTAGGAATACGTATTTCTCCGCTCGGTATCGATCTCTTACTCTTAAGTATAGTTATTTAGTAGCCTTATAGTACGTTTCGGCCTCAACAATCGTAGAGGTAAATCTTCGTATTCGTCGCGGTCGGGCGGCTTAGGGGTTCGCGTCTCGGCCCGACCCGCCATTTTCTGTTTCCTCGCGTCGCTTACGATACGACCGTTCCAGAGTACGTACAGTAGGATCTCTTCTCGTCGGAATAGAGTATCCTAACCATCTAACCATCTAACTATATACAGTGTTTCCCTCAGTAAGAGATACAGTAGTTTTCGAAATTAGTTATACCTCAACACTCTTACAACTTCATTCCCGGAAAGTAACTCCGGTCTTTATAAGCTCTAATTAGATAAAGTATTTTTAGTTATCATTTTAGACCGCTTACTATAAACATCGCTATATTTAATAACAGAATTATCAGACCCCGTAGGATATATTTTACGTAAAACCGCTATATATACGCTACAGTAGCTACCCTACCTATATATACTATATAGAGGCTATACTTAGGAGGACCCGGCGACGGGAGACCTAGAAAATCCTATAGGGGACGAAATTTTATAGCTTCGTTCCCCTAGACATTTAGCGACTTTATAGCCTTCAAGAGTTATAGCCTCTCTTTCAGGTAGGTTATATATAGGTTCTCAATAAGCGCTTTTACTAACTTACTTATAGAGGTCTTATCTATTCAGAATAGCTCTTACGTTTCCTTAACTTACCTTTCGAGATTCGAATACAGATCATCAGACACGCAATCAGTCTCTATCGGCATAAGCCAAAACAATTCAATTAGATCTCTTTTAGGCAGATCAGTTTTAAGTTCGTAAATAAGGGCTACAACATTATCATTAGTCCTATTAGCCTCAGATTCCTAAAACTTACATCTCTTAATATTAAGTTAGTTAGTAAGTTCGCCAAGAAGTACTATCCGTTATCTTCTAGGGCTCTACGGTATATATTCATGTCCAGATTCCCTAACACGGTTATAGACCATTCAGCGAACACACTACATCCTTACCCACGGTTATCTAAATATTAAATAGTTATCCGCTACTATATAATATAGCAAAACAGCTAACTATTTTTATTAATCCCGAGCGCCCTTATATTTATAAAATAGCAACAAAAAAAGACTCTTACTTTAATCTAGATTACTTAGGCTTAACGCTAGTAGTAGCCGCGATTTTGAGACCCTTCTTCATTTTAGGTTATTCGGTTAGGCGTATTTATAGGAGAGTTACAATAATCTATAGTAAGGGACACGACGATCTAACAATCTTCGTTAATATTATTCTACGCTGTTTTAAGACCTATAAATCGTTAAAGCTAATTCTCTATTTAGATAGCTTAGAGTTACTAGGCTTAAAGGTTAAACTAAGGCTATTTAAAATACTAAACTATTCTATAACTCTAGAGGAATAGTAGGAGATACCGAGACGAGGCATTACGCACGAGACTACGCTAGTAGTTTATAATAAACGGTATAAGAATCTTATTCCGACAGTAGCTAAAGAGTCTAGGTATAAGTAGTTTTTATCAGTCTATCTAAACTTAGAAAGAATCTATTTTTAAGGGGTCGAGGATATTATAATAAGGTAAAGGGTCTAGTCTAGATAGCTCCTAGCTAAGCGTACCTATAGTTTACAGGAGAGAGTTAAGTTATCTAAGTACGGATTTATAATTCGGCCTAGTTAGGTAAACTTACCTTCGGGGAGGGATTAGGGTAAATAAAATAAAATATATAAACGAATATACTATATCCTAAATATATAAATTTAAAGCAACTTTCCTAGGCTATATTTCAATTCTCTATTATAATACTAAGGGCCACGCCATCTAGATAATTAGTGTTTTATTATTAAAACAACTCCCCTATCTAGTCTAAAGTACTATAGGAATCGCTTCATTAACCCGCTCAGCCTAATAGGCTACTAAAGTACCCGAGTATTAGAGCGTATTCCTATAGCTTAGGCTCCGTAGAGTAAGATATATCATCGATATAATACAGGCTCTATATTATCTCTAACAAGCTTTCGCAATCTTTTAAGTAACAACATTAGCTTATTATTTAGACCTTATATTATAATATTCTATAATAAAGTTATTCCTATGATTTATTAGTACCTTAGGCCACCAGGGCCCGAGGATTCTGCTAAGGCGGTAGCCATCCGGCGGTCGACCGGCAGCCCCTCGGTAGAGATACGGGACGGTAACCCCGTATATAGGCTACACCTTTAGGTTATATAGTGTATTAGTATACGTCTCGTATCCTCTCGCTAATTCTTATTTATTTCCTATTTATATAGAAGAAAGCTATATTTAAATTAATACTTAAGGAGTAGGTTTAAAACTCCTTAAGAAACAGTCTCTATTATAATTAGACTTAGTGCTATTACTCTCCTACCTAGTTAATAGGCCTTCTACCCTACAAGTAGATATATCTTAATACCTCGTTTTAACACTAGGCTAGCAGCGAATTAAACTCGCAAAAGGTAACATAAGCCATAAAAATAGAAATACATCTTTACCTACTAGGGTTAGCTCTCTATAGTATAAGCGTAGCCTTCTATATTATAACTACCAGGTGCAGTAGAAGGCTACGTCGGATACAGGAAGAACGAGGGGTAAGGACGAGTAGAACAGGCGGGAAGAGGAAGTTAGTAAGCTAGACAATCATACCAGATCGCCACAACTCCTCAAAAGTTTCACTTAATTCTATAAATCATTACGGTATTATTACGATAACTTACCTATTATATAAGGCTATTACTACCCTTACTCGATACCCCTCACTACTTATAAATAGCTTTTTTCAAATCTTCACCCCAGCTTAAAACGCTATAGCAACATTTCCTCTAATCTTAGTTTAATAATTCTACTTCATTTACCCTCCGAATTACTACTAAAACTAGCGACCTACCTAGAGACAGAATAAGATATCAACTCATTATCTTAAACAAACAGACGACTCTACGCTCTCCTTAATCTATATCTCTATAGACTAAATTCTCAAGACGCAAATTCCGCTCTGCTATAGACTACCTAATATAATAATATAGCTACAGCTCGATTATATATACAGGAAAGAGCTAAAGTTAGAGTGACGGATAGCAGGGGCCGGATACTATTATCCTAGGCCGCGTAGTACGGATATAAGGCGATAGTAAAGCTTTAAATAATATAAAAGCTCGATCCGTTCGCCGAATAAAATAGGCAGAGAATAAAAGGAGATAAAAAAGGAGAAGAAGCTAATAGTTATAAATCCTTAGACCATAGTTAATTTAAGAAAGATCGGACAGTTTAGAGATTATAGCATTTAGGTTATGCCTATTTAGCTAAATATATCTCGACCGTATATAGCGGTAGGCTATATACTTCTCTCCTCGGGAGGTATTATAGAGGCTCGGAATACCTAGTAAACCTCAAAGCATTTCCCGACTGCTATTAGAAGGATATATATAGGAAGGCTCTATCGAAGACAGAATAGACAAATAATAGGGGGTAGGGTTACTTTCGATAGTTTATAATAATCATAGACGTAAAATGCTAATATTAGACTCAATAACGATAACCTAAATACTGATTAGGATCTAGACTATTTCGGTAATAGAAAACGTCCTCTACGCGTCTACAGTTAATAAAAATATTTCCTCTCCTATTTACGCATAAACCAAGGAAAAATCATAGCAAAAAAGGGGAAAGTCAGTCTAACCCTATTTTAGAGAGATAATCTAGCGAGTCGTCTAACCTATAGGTATTACTAGTAAAGAGAAAGTAGTAATTACATAAATAATTACGTTCCCCTACCCGACCGCTAAATTCACGTACGCTAGTAAATAAGTAGAATATAAGTAACTAGGGCGGGCGGGATTACGTAAGATCCACGTTATAACTAACTACCCGCTCTTCGCACTCTATAGGGGAAAGTACTTTATAGCTACCCGTCCTAAATATTTAAGATACTTCGTTTGCTTATTATGTAAGCTTGACTTAGGCGCGAAGGGATAAGTAGTATACAAAATCCCGACGGCCTATACCTTCCTAATACCTTATGCTAGCCCTATTTATACGAACATAACTCCGAGCAACATATCGTACCAATTTAAATCGACGAAAATTACTACGTTAAGGCTAAGACTATAAAATAGCACTTTATAGCAGAGCAGTAAACCTACAATAGTCGAACATCTACTACTATATCAGTTACGCACCGAGCTTTTTATCTAGCGGCTAACTTAACTTAGGGTATCTCAGCCGAAGGTCCGACTAGATACCTAATTTTAATAATATTATTATAAATATTAGGTAGGTCTCGATATAGTACGCCGCCAGCCCTAAAATATATAGTAAATACGAAAATTTATAATTATATATCTTAATAGCTAGGCTACATATCAATTTAAATTTTAAGTTATACACTCTTATAAGCATAAAAGACAATATATTTAACTCTTAAGTCTATTTAAGATAAGATTCTACTATATTACTATAATTATAATGTAATTTAGGTATCTAAGCCTTAAATATATATATATCTCTATCAACCCTTTAAATAATATCCCTAGGATATATTAATATATTAGGAGCCCTACTTTAAATATTATATCCTAATATTTTCTCTATAGGAGATATGGTTATTAGTATAACGAACTATATCCTTATATAGTAAGCGTAGTTCTAGGATACGTCCTAGAATTCTAGTCTTTTACTCCTGGCGTAGCGGTTTAGCCTTTAGAACGTAAAACTACTTATTAGGGTAGTAGCCTATCGATTAGGTAAAGAATTAATAGCGAAATAATAGTAAAACAGATTAGAAGAGTTATACTGTATTTTTCTTTTAGAAACTAAATCTTACCGACTTAACTAGGAGGGAGCGAGACACCCTCCTTATAGAAATAACGATACAAAGTAATAATATATAATAATATAACCACTCTTAATATTGACGCTTCCCCATATTAGACCAACACGCAATCCTTTACAATTAATTTCCCCTCTAAAGATAGCTATCCTCAGCCACGGTAGAGAAATAGGGCCGTTTTAATTCCAATTCGTAGAGATAACGAAACGTATAGTAGTAGTATTAGTTACAAAGTTTATTTTACTCCCGCAGTTCAGTAGGCCAGAGTTC